GGGAAAAAAAATAACAGCCCCACCATTTATTGTATACTCATAACACACTAGATATTTTATGTGGACTGGCTCATTAAATGTTTATAGCCACCTCATTAGGTGCATGTTATTATAGTCTCCATTTTACAGGTGAGGAAACTGAAGTTTAGCCGACTTAAATTTAAGTTGCCCATGGTTAGTGGTTGAATTAAGATTCAAATCCAAGTCTGTCCGACTCCAGAACCCAATTGCTGCCTTTTATTCCACCATGCTGTCTGTCCAAGAGAACATGAAAGTAATTGTTTTTAAATGATGACCTCAACGTTTATGGTTTACAACTAGCATGTAACTAAGTTCTAGTCAGTCTCCATGATCAGCCAGGCACAATTAAGAATCCCTCACCCCGTGTTTGTCTTTCTGACTCAGGGTCAAGGTGGAAGGTCCAACGATTGGGGAAGCCCCTCTAAGGCAACTCTTTCAATCCTACATTCCTTCCCCCAAGACTGATCGAGAGTCGCCCTTCAGAAGGAACCCCCTGGAAAGCCTAAATAACCTCATGCTGGAGGCAAGAATGGACATGTTCAGCTCAAACATGATCATCAGTGGCCCAGCTGTAGACCTTGGCCCCAACGAAGCCAGCAGGGCTGGGAGGAAGCAGCTAGGTGGTGTCCAGAACCTGCGCCCTTGCACCCGAGCTGGAGCCCGGCACAAGGCTTTTAGCATAAAGGACAAGATATCTGAGTGGGAAGGCAAAAAGGAGTTGCCCACTGCAGCACCCAGCAGGCTAGTGGATGAGCAAGAGGATTACGGGCCGTCCTGCATGTTGGAGAGAGGTAGCAGCGAGGTCGTGAGAACTCGGGTCGCAGAGGGTAAGAATGGAATGAGGCCCGAAACAGAGAGCCTGGAAAGTGAGAGGTGGAGAGGGGCAGTGAACGTTGGGGGTCCGGACATAGAGAGGAGGCCAGACCTTGGCCATCTCGAAGGGGAACCAGAGGCCTGTGGGAACAGAGGCCGGGAGCCGAGGCTCTGGAAGCCACACTTCCAGAATGACCACCTCTCGGTGCTGAAGCAGGTCAAGAAACTGGAGCAGGCATTGAAGGACGGGTCAGCGGGCTTGGATCCCCAGTTGCCGGGAACATGCTATTCCCCACACTGCCTGCCTCACAAGGCAGAGGAGGAGCCCCAGCCTCCTGAGAACCACCGGGGTGGCGTAGAAGCTGACCGCAGGGGCCACCACTTGGATCTAGAGGACAGGGAGCCCACCTCTGAGGCTACAGAGGGGTCCCCTACAAAGCCCTTCATCAACCCCCTGCCCAAACCCCGGAGAACGTTCAAACATGCCGGAGAGGAAGACAAGGATGGGAATCCAGGCACTGGCTTCAGGAAAGAGAAAAGAAACCTGCCTCCCCTGCCTTCCCTGCCTCCCCCACCGCTGCCCTCGTCCCCGCCTCCTGCCTCTGTGAACAGAAGGCTCTGGACCGGAAGGCAGAGACCCAGTGCTGACCACAGGTAGGTGCTGTCTGGCTGGTGCCCCTTTTTGTGACTGTGCTGTAGCTTAGATCCCATCCCAGCTGCCTGTTCTCAGCCTAATTATGTCACATTAAGTTGAGGGATCTCACTTGGAGTTATTGGAAACTGTTCATAGCATAAGGTAGTTTGGTGATTTACCTGGAAATGTGGTTACCATGCATGTTCTGTTTCTTCTCTTCTCTCTTTTTTAAAAAAGAGTATTTACTTTTAAAAATTACCTTTCAAATGTGATAAAGTCTTATAATTGGTCAGTGACTAAGAGTTAAGTGAAGAATTTGTTTGAAATTTGCAGTCTTCTAACTGGTAGTACCTGGTATCTACTTGGATCTTCCAACTCTCTTTCATGTTTTTTCTTGGAGTGGGCTTGGGAAGCACATTGTCTGGGGCTACTTTGGCCTCTTGTTTACCTTTGTAACCTTGAACAAGTTACTTCTTGAAGCCTTATTTTCCTCATTTATATATACAGATGCATCATATGATAATATGAAAATGACATTAAATAATAAAGTATGTTAATGCTTAAAAGTAAAATCTGTTCTTTGGAAACAATTTCTTTCCTGCTTTGAAACATAATTTGGGGTCCATTTCTAATTGATTTGATACCCACTAACCTAGAAATCAGGTTTAGAGCAGAACTTCTCAAAACAGTTATCTGTACTTACTGTCCTTACTTCTTTGCCTTCTGCCTTTTCCTCACCCACTCCTCTTGGGCTTTGGCCCTTCATCCTGAAGCTGTTCTTGCCCAAGGCCACTGGCAACTTCCATCTTGGTAAGTCCAATTTGCGAATTCTCTGATCTTTTCTTAATTGACCCCTCTTGGTATTTGAGGACTTGCGCCATCTTGAATCACTGTCTTCACTTGGCTTCTGAGTCAGCCACTTCCCTGCTGACCGGGAAGTCCTCTTCTCTGGCTTCTCTCCTTCTACAAGTCAGGATAGCACTCCTTCTCTTAAGCCCCCTCACTCCAAACCAGGAGCACACTAGGATCAGACTTCTCTCCTTCATCTCCCTCCACCCTTTAAGTGATCTCATCCAATTCCATCACTTTAATGTCAATTACATGCTTAAGATTCCCAAATTTAGATCTCAAGCCCTGACTCCTCTCAGCTTCAGGTTTGTGTAGTCATCTTATGCTTGGGTCTACATTTGGTTGTGTGATAGTTGGGATTTAACATGTCCCATCCTATATTCGAATTCAGACCACCTCCCAAACTAATCATCATCTTGTTAAATGGCATTGCCTTTCATTTAATTCTTAGACCAAAGAGCCAGGAGTCTTCTTTGATCTTTTCTTTCACACAGTCCTTCAGTTCTGGTTTTAGAACTTTAACTTGCATCTGACTACATCTCCTCCATTGCTACCCCTTTAATAACTTTGGATCCATTGCCCACCCCCAGGATATTCCTCCCTCGGTAGTCAGAGAAGTCTTCCAAAAAATATATATAGATCATGTCACTCCCCCACTCAATGTGCTCTGTCAGGTAGGAGTCTCTTACCTTCAAATAATATAACTTCTTATGTTCTCTTCCAAGGAAAAATAAGTTTCATATTCTAAAATTTTATATATTTACATAAATTATTTCCTTTTAAAAATGAAATCATGCTGCATATACCATTTTTTAAAATATTTATATTTATTTTTTAGTTGTAGTTGGAACAATACCTTTATTTTTTAAAGGTATTGGTGCTGAGGATCGAACCCAGGGCCTCACACATGCTAGACGAGCGCTCTACCACTGAGCCATAACCAGAGCCCCTATATATCATTTTTTTATTTAGTGTATCATTGAGCTCTTTCAGTGTTACCACCTTTCTGTTTTGGGGGGTGGGAGGTGTACCAGGGATTGAACCCAGAGGTGCTTTACCACTGAGCTACATCCCCAGACTTTTTTATTTATAATTTTGAGACAGGGTCTTGCTGAAGCTGGCCTCAAACTTGTGACCCTTTCTTAGCCTCCTAAGTTACTGGGATTACAGGCATGTGCCACCACATCCAGCACTACCTTCCTTTTTTAACTACCACATTCTTTCTAGCATGTTGATAAACTTATTTTATTTATCCATTCCCCTAATGATGGACACTTAGGTTGTTCCCAGGTGGCATATAATACTGTATTATTCAGCATATAGTATTAGAGAGGACTCTAAAACCAGAGTACTTACTAGTTGTGCTACTTATTAGCTGGGTGGCATTGTACAAACCACTAAATTTGCATTGGTCTCATTTTGCTCATCTGTAAAATGGTGATAATTATAGTATCCACTTCATAGGGTTTTTTAATAATTATATTATAAATCTCCTATTTATTTCCTTATTATTTTTCAAAAATGTCTTGACAATTCTTGCATGTATTTATCAAAATATTCCCTATATCACTATCAAATTTCACACAAAAAATATGCTTGTATTTAATTGCAGTTCTGTGCATTTGCTGAGTTTATTCATAAATGTTTTATCTTTTTCTTGCAATTATTAATGAAATTTTTTTCTCATTAGAGGGCCTGGGACCTATTTATAATGTATATTTTAATATTTTTAAAAGACACTTTTAAGAAATACCTTTTATTTATTTTTGTTTTTATTTTTTATTTTTTGGTACCAGGTTGGAATCCAGGCCCTGCATATTCTAGGGAATTGCTCTGTCTCTGAGCTACATCCCAGTGATTTTGAGACAGTCTTGCTAAGTTTCCCAGGTTGGCCTTGAAATGTGCCACTGCACCCTGCCCATTTGCTGATATTCTAAGGTTTTTATACTAGTATTCCATATTGGAGACTGGTCAATAAAGGCCTTTATTGTACTACCTTTGTCAGGCTTTGGTACCAGTATATGTTAGGTCTGTACTTAGAAACTCATCCCATGAAATATCCAGTGTCCAAGAGATGAGTGTTGGGGAAAAAGAAAGGTTGATTCAGTGGCCAAAGAATGAAGAGGGAACTTTGCTCACAAATCAGTTTCTTCTCTTCAAGGGGTGAGCGGTTATAGTATAGGAAAAATAAGGGAGAGGGACAGGCTAATAAAGGTGAGGAAAATTCTTTTCTTTTCTCAGAATAGCTGGAGATCTTCAGGAACTCAGGTGTCATCTCTTTACTCATTTCATGGTCTGGCATTTCCAGTCATGGTGACTGGTAAGAGTCGTCAGCCTTGAAGTAGGTTAAGAGAGAGACTGGACAAGTCTAGGTCAAGTTAACCCTACATTATAGCTCTGGATAAAACATGTCTCAGATGGTCACATGTCCATATGCAGAACTGAATAGAATCTGACCCAAAGGTTAGGGCAGCAAAGGAGACGCGTGCAACATGAAGACAGATGCCGAGCATTTTCATCCTGTTCCAGTCACCGTGAAACCTCTGAGGACCCAAGTGAAGAGTTACTGTTTTCAGCAAATGGCCTTCACATTCATTCCTAAAGGGTAACCTTGGCAACCATTATCATCATAACCCCAGTCAGAGTGGGAGGGGGGAAGCTATTGGGAGACTAATAATTTATTGCCCAACCTTGTGACCTCTGAAATTGGTGATTTTTAAATCAACTAAGAGCAACTAAAGTTAGAGGGTCTATTTAGGTTTATCCCTGATGACATGTAGAATTTAGAGGCTTCCTTCTTTATGTTTGGAATCCTTCTACAGTTCTTTTTTTCGGGAAGGGAACTAGGTTTGATGATAGAAATTGAACCCAGGGACTCCTGTGTGTTAAGCTTGACTGAGCTACACCCCAGCCCTCCAACTCCCAGTTCTACATCCTTTCCCAAACCAGCACCAAAGCCCAGCTTCCTTGATAGTGTCCTGACTTTTCTTGCTCCTGGTCTGTGACTTCCCATGTAGTGCTTCTGTGGCATTTTGGGGCTGTTTCTCCAAGGGGCCTCACTCCCCAGGGGCAGGTTGGTTCTGGTAAATTGGAAACTTTCATTTGGGCAGACAAATCATCCTGGTAAATAGTTATTCCCACTATCTTTTCTCCCTCAGCTACCATCTGCTGTTTTCAGTCTTTCAGCATTTTCTTTATAACCAGCTAAAGTTACTTAGTTTCAGTCCAAAGATGAAATTTTTCTTGGCCAGTTTGAATATGGTTGCATCAGCTGTGTTTTAAGAATTTTGGCTGTAGGTTTTTCATTTTGTTTAACATAGTATAATGGAGGTAGTTAGGGCAAGATGTTCATTTTCTATTCTTTAAAAAAGGAGGGTAAAGAATGCTCTTTTTTGTGGTCCTATCTCTTAAAAAAAAAAAAAAAAAAAAAGCCTCGACCATGCACTTGGCAGACTTGCTGCCTTCTCTGTGGCAGGAAAGCCAAGCCAAGGCTGGAGAAAGAAATGATTAAGGATTTTGAGGTTCTGAGGGTTTAGAGTTACACAGCTAAACTGTGAGCTTTAGAGATTGTATCCAGCTTATTTTCACTGGCCAATTAGTACACCTCATCAAGAGCCAGACTAGTGGGTTCAGATCCTCAGTTTGAGAAAATGTGTTTTTCTTTGCCTTTTCTTTCTCTTCCTCTTCTTTCTACTCTTCTCTCTTCTTCCTTTCTCCCTCCCTCTTTCTCCCTTTCTTTGCTCTTCTTTCTTCATTTCTCTAAAGCCTCAGGAAATTAAATGCAAGGATTCATGCTTTCAGTCTTAAAATGGAAAATGAGAAATCCTCAAATGTCAGGAAATTCCAAAGATAAGGTTCCTACAGCAACATTAACTTAGTTATGTATGCTTTATGGCATACCTTTAATAACTTTGGCAGAAAAGCCTTAGGCCAATATTTAACAAGAAAAGTTATTTAAAGATTTCTAAGTATAAGCAACATCCAGAATTCACATGCATCTACATACTCAAAATATTTCAACTTAAGATCTGAGGATGTGGCTCAGTGAAGAATACCCACCTAGTATGCGCAAGGCTGTGGGTTCAATCCCCAGCAACACACACACAAAATTAAATTTTAAAATGTTGCATTTTAGTTTAATTTGATCATATGACAATGTTTGGATTTTTAT